GTCGATCGAACACATCCTTTAATATTTTGAATTTTCGAGGCACGGCATTTTGCTCTGGTTTTTTTTTTTTACAATTTCATTTTCGTGATTTGAGAGCGAAGGGTCTTTTCGAAAATAAATATTAATATTTAATATGTGTCCGAACGGAAGATTTATCACAAATAATTATATGCAGGCGTCATTTATATATATACAAATTAATAAGAAAGAATCAACGAATAATATATTTTAGCTGAACTTTGAAAAAAAAACAATAAGGATATTTCCGATTAGTCTTTTGGAATTTTTTTTAAAAAAAGAATCGGCCACGAAACCCATATCAAATGTAAGATATATTTATATTTATTAGTTTTTCCTTGGTTCAATAATTGGGAATTCGTAAAATCTAAAATTTAGGAAAGTAATATGAAAAAATGATGGTATTTTTTAAATAATCTAATGTAAAACAAAGTAGATTTTCATTAAAAAAAGACTACAATTACATGTGCGCACGTATTTAGACATAAAAGATAAACAAGTTCACTGTAAAACTAAAACACAAAATTCCAAAAGCGAAATGTTTTGCCTACGTGCACCTACCCAAATTTGAGTGGTCTAGTGGTAATGAGAACATGCAAACCATCATGAGTTCAAACCTAAATATGGGGGAATATTCACCTAGGTTTCCCCGATTCTTTGGAAGATGTAATCGAATCAAAGGCTCGATGAATTTCCGGATTATAAAAAAAAGGTGCATGTTATTAAAGATATAAAATATTATAAAAGATTAGCTAGTATTAGTATGTATTCGAATTTGATTTTATTCGTATTTTTTAGACAGCTATATCCGATAAACAATTTTTATAAATATTATATCCTAAACATGGAATAACAATAAGCTCTAATAATATTCCATTTGAAATATTTATCATGAAAGTTTTAGATATATCTTATAGTTTTAAAAGGGGCAGAGACATGAAACATGACCTAGGTAAAACATATAACATATGTGAACATTAAGATACTTTCATTAATATGTGGGGTTTTTCTTTATTGATTTATGTTCATTTTGAAATCATATTCGCTGAATATGCTTTTTCCCTATCAAATAAACTTTATTTGTTTTTTATTTGTTACACTTTTGTCCCGAGGACTTGGCAAGCATGTTCACCAAGAAAGAAAACCCTAATCAAATCCCATAAAGTAGAGAGAGAGAGCGAGAGAGAGAGAGAGAGAGAGAGAGAGAGCAAAATAAAAGGGGATGTGAGAAAAGTATAAAAGAAGAGAGAGAGAGATGCTGAGCAGTGGGAGGAATTGCTCTCTTATCACCCATTCGACTTTTGTTCAATGATAGACCAAATATTATTAAATATAAAATATATGGAAAACATATTAAAAAGAAAGGGCATTTTTGCTTTCTCAAGTAAATAGATTCGATCATATATATATATATATATATATATGAAAGAATAGAATAAATATATACGTGCTATTGTGTGTGCAAAGTCATAAAGGGAGTTGCCACCAGAAATGGTGGCATACATTTAGATTATTGGAGTCTCGGTATCCTCCACCATTTTCCTTTACTATATTGTATTGAAATAAATATAATCATATACATATATTTATATATATAGTTACAATATTTTAAAAAAACATTATCAGAATATTAATAAATAAATTGCAAAATAATACAGATATTTTTTCAAATTTTTATGAAAAATTATGTTAATACTACATTCTAAAATATATCTATGATAATATATTTGTGATAGTTTTAATTCCTTTTTCAAAGCAACTTATTAAACAGTAGTTCCTATATCAATCCATTATCTAAGATTGTTTTCGCAAAGTTTATCACATAAAAAATCTCAATAATTACATTGAAATAAGGTCAAATAAAACCTATTTCCAAAAATTCAAAGGATATAAAAATATCGTTTTCCTTTCCACTGGAATATCAACAATATACCTCTCTGATTTTCTGAATTAAAAAATATATAACATCTTCTTTAAAAATATGGATATAATGACTAAAATGATATTTTAAAAAGTTATTTTTAGAAAAATAAAATTATCTTATTAAATTAACTCATTTTCACCAAATTTATATATTGAATTTTCTAAACAAATCCATATATCAAAACAACTGCATAAATAAATATAATTTATTTTGTAAAATTGATCAAGTTCCAACGATTTTAATATTACAAATTAAATATATTAAAATTGGTACTAATAAATAAAATTAATTAATTTAAAATGAAAAAAATTATGCTTGTGGTAGGCGGATATATGCTTGTGGATACAGATAACTATGTTTTCATATGCTTTTATTTTTATGGGTATTAGGGCTAAACAAATTAAAATTGTATAAATTCAATTAAGGTAAATGTATACATTAAAAAAATATTAAATTAAAATTATAAAAATTATTGTTGTTGAATTGAGATTGTTTAATTTTCTTAGTGGGTATTCAGAGAAAAGGCAGAAAATATAGTTTCTTAACAAAAAAAATTTAAAATAAAATAAAAAATCGTTGGGCACGTCATTCCTAATATGAATATATACGTCCGGGAGTGGAGATGGGGACCTTCTTGTACCATTTGGGATTTTGTCAGTGCTTTATAGAATTCAAGGCAAATGCTCAACTCATGATGTAGTAGTGGCCATGACTGTTCCATTTTTCTAATAAAATATTGTAATATTTAAATAAAAATTTCGTTTTCAGTATGATAGGGTCAATGACCTAACAAAGCTAAGGCCCGTGTTGGAGGATTTCATTAGAGCTTAGCAGTGGGTGGGAGTGATGGGACCAATTTGATTAATACAACCCAACCCCATCACGTTCTTTGGCTTCCATCGCTACCCTCTTCCAATTTTTTTCTCCATATATAATGTCTACGACAATTAATTTACATATTCAAAATTATACAATAAGTGTGATATTAGTGCATACATGGACGTGAAAACGACTATATATATATATATATACACACACATACGCTCATATATACACGAAGTGTGGGAATCTCTCTCTCTCTCTCTCTCTCTCTCTCTCTCTCTATGTATATCACGCATAAACACACATATATATATGTACACATATATATATATATATATATATATAGTATGGTAAGATTCATTACACATTAGTTGAATCATATTATTATTATTATTACTATTATCTTCTTGTGGGCACGTTTCCACAAAGGCATGAATGTGGCCATGGCCCCGCTCCATCATGTTTTTGTCTAATTAGCTAATAGATTAATATTTCATCCGGAAAGAAAAATATCCACGAGGCTTCATCTAAATTGTGGCGCGTCGTGTTGTCGTTGTTCCGAGATAAATATAATGAAAAAGCAATCAATACTACACGAGAATTTAATTTAAATGGTGATATACATACATATATATACATATATAGGGCATGCCTAGTATATGGTACTCCTACCCACTATAAAATTTGATGGCTTTTTTGCTGTCATAGTGATGTATTGGTTTCCACCATTTCTTTACGATGCTTCAACTGCCAATCTTCCTCCCTTCTTTTCCCCACCTTCATGTTTATTGTTCCATCGTGTATATATATATATATATGTATGTATATATTGAAAGCAACATCCTTAATTTAATATCCTATTAAAGCATTTTCTTAACCATGCCTATATAAAAACGTTACATGACATATATGCAAATGTATACACGCGACCGTATGTACCAATAAGTAAAAAAAATTCATTAAAAACATAAAAATCTTTCAATGAAATATGGGATATGGAGCTTTTTGTGATAAATTCATGTATATTTCAATGGTAATATATATATATATATATATATATATTGAGAGAGAGAGAGAGAGAGAGAGAGATGCATGAATGCGTCCACAAAGATAAGTAAAGCCTTTTATTTGCTCCATCTGTCCCACATCGAAAATCACCCCTTCACTGATGACAACACCTAGTTTGTCCGTACAGTGATACATTATCGAATAATTCCCTTTATTCTATTTTCATTAATTATTAATTTTTATGACAAAACCCGGAAACCAACAAACAAAGAGGGTACCCAAAAAAAGGAGAGAAGAAGAAATCAAACGGAAAGGTCATATGGGCCCCACAGTAACGTGGCATCTTTTATCCCGACATGGTCCACACTTTTGGCACGTGCACCTCCCTCGATGATAAAATACCCTACATTACTAAATTTTTATATAACATTATTGCCGTGTTACGTTTATATAATTTCAGTCGAAAATAAAATTCATATTATTCGTATATATTTTTTGTTTCTCCGAAGAAAATGACGAAAATAGAATAAAAGAGTGTAATTCTGTATGTAAAAAATAAATGAATGAATCAAGGCTCCTACAAACATGCCACGTGGATCTTCTTCGCCATTATCGGACGTGGTAAACGTACAGAGCATTCGACACGTTGAGAACATGCCACGTGTCGACCTCCGAGGGCTTTGTCTTCTGCTGCGACTGCAGTTAAATTTATAAAAAAAAGTAAGACGAAACCTAAAATTCCGGAATTACCCCTGAAAGTTTGGTCTATGACGCAGACTGACCAATCACCTCACTGCATTTCTGGGGATGTTTGGGGGCATTAAATCTCTCTGAGTGTTTTTATTTTTTTAAAATCTATATATAGATTTCGTGAATCCACGAGTGTTGAGCTTAAAAAAGGAAATTGTAAATTATGGTGATTTTTATTTCCGCGTAAATATATAATGAAATACCATTAGTGTAGAAATAATACAAGGAAACAAAGTCTAAGATTAGGATGATTGACATTAATAGCAGATTATGATGGAAAATTGGTTTGGACTTTCTTTATTTTAGGGGACGAAACATTTACAAATAGAAAAAATTTGACAAGTCAAGGGGGAGGATGCGTTAAAAAGGAAAGATATTTGGGTGCATTGAATAATTGGAAAAAATAGTAATCTATAATAGAAAAAAAGATGGTTTTTTCCCATTCTCTCTCTAGAAAATGCTCTTCTCTGACTTTTTCTCTCTCTACCTTAAATAAAACCCACCATAGATTTCTTTCACCAGTCGCCACACCTCCTCTCCTTCTCCACATTCTCTCTCTCTCTCTCGCTCTAAGGTCGAGGAACGTATCAATGGCGGTGGAAGCCCAGCGTGTTAACCTTTTCCCTCGGTTTATAACGAACAGGTAGATTTTCCTCCTCCTATTCTCGTTTATCGGGAAAGCTCTGTGTTTTTCTCTCGTTTTGAAGGTTTTTTTCTGGGATTTTCTCTCTTCTGAATCTTTGTCTCGTCGCTTCGCAGTCCTTTATCTTTTTCTTTTTCTTCCGTTTCCGATTCTCCATCAGTGTTCTGAGGTTTTGAGTTTTCTTTGTTTACAGAGAATGCGTTAAACTTCAATCCAACATGATGAACCATGCCGAGATGGATTTTCCCGGAGTTCCGGCGACTATCGGCGGCGCTAGGCCGTACGGACAACCTCTTGCCTTAGATCCTATCGCCATGGCGGCCTCGAAAGCTTGCTTCAACAAATCAGACAGCGGCGTCACTTACAACGTTAATCCCCCTGCCGCTCTCAGAAAACGCCCCCGAGATTCCGCGTTATGCGATTCCGACGCTCTCCTCATTTCCGCGGCGGCGGCTCGGAAGCGGAGACAAACAGCGTTCGGATCGCTGTTCGATCAAGAACTGATGTCTCAGATCCAAAACCAGCAGACGGAGATCGACCGGTTCTTGGCTCAGCAGACGGAGAAGCTGGTGATGGAGCTGGAGGAGCGTCATCGGGCGCAAACGCGGGTTCTAGTGTTTGCGGTTCAGAACGCCATAGCGAAGAAGCTCAAGGAGAAAGACGAGGAGGTCGTACGGATGGGAAAACTCAACTGGGTCCTACAAGAACGGGTGAAGAGCCTCTACGTCGAGAACCAGATCTGGCGCGACCTGGCTCAAACCAACGAAGCCACCGCCAACAACCTCCGAACCAACCTCGAACAGGTCCTGGCTCAGGTAGAAACCGCCGCCGTCGACGATCACCGCCCCTCCGCCGCCGCAGTGGAAGACGACGCCGAGTCCAGCTGCGGGAGCTGCGCCGTCGGTAACGACAGAGACGGGGAGGAAGATACCGGAGTTGTCGCCGGCGTCGGAATTGTGCGGCGGAGAGTGAGGGGAAGTTGCCGGAAATGCGGGGAGAGGGAGGCGAGCGTGTTGGTGTTGCCGTGTCGGCATCTGTGTCTGTGTACGGTCTGTGGTTCGGCTCTTCTACGTGCATGTCCTGTCTGCGATACGGTCATGAACGCTAGTGTACATGTTAACATGTCTTGACCTTCTTTTCTTTTTCTTTTTCTTTTTTTTTTAAAATCCAAATATTTTTCTCCGTAGAATTTTACATTTTTAAGTTTTTACAAACAGAGATATCAATGATTCCTTTTGTAAAATCGTTCTTTGTAAATACAGAATTTTTTTCTGTTCACTTGCACCAGTTTCGTCCGATTTTATTATAATATTTTATATATTATTGTCATAGTAATCAAAATATAGACCAAAGTATTTGTGATCTTATCCTTTTTCTTCTATTTTGGATTTTTTTTTAAATATTAGTTTTGGGGGTTTAATTTATATAGATTTTAGTAGGAGTGGGCGCTTTTGCTTAGTTTGGAAATTTCAATGGAATCCAAAATAGGAATTTGAGAAAAAGGCAACAAAAAATTAATTGAAATAAATAAGAAACAGAAGCTTTGAATTGAAGAGACTGCAAACATGTGACGTGCTTCTTGTTTCAAATTGTTTGGCCCCCTTTCTCACGTCACGTCCCTCCTCGAATTTTATATACTGCCATTTCAAAAATGAAATTTTGATATTAAAATTCGATTTCATTCCCAACAATTTTTAAAATATATCCTAAAAACAACATAAGAACACGAAATAACGATTAAACAAAAGGATACGAATAGTGATTTAATTAAACTCTTTAAGACGTCACTAATAAGATACGACTCTATATTTATATACACGACAAAGTGATTCACCCCTTCGAGAGAACATGTGGACCGTTCTGAAATTGAAAAAAAAAAGGGGGGCACATAAAGACATTATAGTATGAATTAAATTGCTTTTAAAAAAAGACATTTTATTTTTCAAAATCAGAGTTATTATAAGTTGTGTCGTGTAATGAAAAATTTCAAGAAACCCATGTCATATCAATGTCATGTGCGGGTGTGGACAAAAACATAAATATGCAATGTTGATTTTGTTGTCCCGTTCTCCCATTATTTTTTTTTTGGGTAGTGGCACATAAAAACGATGTGTGAGAATTCACGACTTACGATGATTGCGTCCTGGAAACGTTAACTCTGTCATTATCCATTATACGTATATATAAATGTTAGGAATTACGTTACATTACAACTTTAAAATTAAATAAATGAAAGTGGGGCTGTACCGTATACGACCAAAATGGTACGTCGTTGGGTTGGGTTTGGGTTCGTACAGAAAATAAATAAAGTGTTAAAAATGATGATGATTCACCACATGCTTTGCTCTCTCTCTCTCTCTCTCTCTCTCTCTCTCTCTCTCTCTCTCTCTCTCTCTCTCTCCTTTTGGTTATTCTCACCCCCATCTCTTTCTCCCTCTTCACCAAACCCTATTATTATTATTATTATTATTATTATTATTATTATTATTATTATTATTATTATTATTATTGTTACTCATAAATTTCATT